CATCGCTATTACTAATGGCCTCAAACCTCTAACTCCTCTTTTACCATACAAGTATGCAATGACATTTCCATGTTGTTTATGGCTTATTAAAAGCAACACATAATAAAAATACCTGAGATTATAAAAAATAGATATCAAGTCTCTCATCAAATAAATCTGTTATTTTTAGCTGCTGTATAGCTAAGCAAAATGTCCTCCATTCAGTATTGTGAAGGTGATCATATTTCCTTTTCTAAGCTCTGTACAACCTTTGCTTCAGTAGGGACCACATCAAAATTGAAGTCTGGAGGTTCTCTCCTCTTACATACCCTACATATCCTGGCTTACAGGACACTCAGCCAGTCATTATTGTTGTTCAGTCACTAAGTCATATCTGACTCTTTGTGACCCCATGGACTGCAGCACACCAGGCTCCTCTGTCCTTCACTATCTTCTGGAGTTTGGTTGAATTCATGTCCATTGAGTTGGTGATGCTATCTAACCATCTCATCCTCTGTCATCCCATTCTCCTCCTGCCTTCAATCTTTCCCAACATCAGGGTCTTTTCCAAAGAGTCAGTTCTTCGCATCAGATGGCCAAAGTACTGGAGCTTCAGCAGCAGACCCTCCAATGAATATTCAGGATTGATTTCCTTTAGGATTGACTGGTTTGATCTTGCAGTTCAAGGGACTCTTAAGAGTCTTCTCCAGCACCACAGTTTGAAAGCATCAATTCATAGGTGCTCAGCCTTCTTTATGGTCTAACTCTCCCATCCATACATGGCTACTGGAAAAACCATAGCTTTGATTATATGGGCCTTCGTCGGCAAAGTGATGTCTCTGCTTTTTTATACGCTGTCTAGGTCTGTCATGCTCTCTTTCCAAGGAACAAGCATCTTTTAATTTCATGGCTGCAGTCACTATCTGCAGTGATTTTGGAGCCCAAGAAAATAAAATCTGTGACTGTTTCCACTTTCCCCTCTTCTATTTGCCATGAAGTGATGGGACAACATGCCATGATCTTAGTTTTCTGCATGTCGAGTTTTAAGCCAGCTTTTTCACTCTCCTCTCTCACCGTCATCAAGAGGCTCTTTAGTTTCTCTTTACTCTTTGCCATTAGAGTGATATCTTCAGTGAAGCCTTATTCTTTAACCCCCTTATTCCAGCCCCACCAATTGCATAGTCAAGCATTCCGGTTATTACGGTAGAGTGTAGAGGTTAAGAGCATGAAATTCCAAATCAAATTGGATTTAGCTCTGCCACAACTTGTATGGCCTTCAGCAAGTTATTTTACCTCCTTGTGCCTCAGTTTCTTCATCTGGAAAACAACAGAATCTTCCACTGGGTTTAAATGAGATAATACATGCAGGAAGTTTAGAATGATGCCTGGTACATGGTAAGCACTCTACAAGTGATGGCTACTTTTATTGTCACATGTGTTTTTCATACATGGTTACTGTCTGTCATCATATGGAGCCCTTTCATAGTGTATAGATTAGGTGGCCAAGAGCTGTGGAGGTCTAGCTGCAAGCTAAGCGCAGCGGTAACAGCAAGCTGGGTCACAGAGTTTCAGGACTAGCCTTGTAATACACAGTAGCACAGTGGTTCACCATTTAGGGTCATGAAGTCTTGGGCTCCAAATCTGGTTCCAAAAAATGTTAGCACGGCAACTGGGTAGTTATGCTATCTTTCAAAGCCTCAGCTTTACATAGTTGCTGTGAGGATTAAATAAAGTAATATATGTAAGGTAAACTGTCAAGATATATTTTCCAAAAGTTAAGACCATGACTCTCTTACAAATATAAAGTGAGCATGTGTAGAAGATTCACTTCACATATGACTGAGAGAACAGGCAAAATGGTTTAAAGAACATTGGAGAGAGTAAAGTATTTATGGTGGCTAAAGGAAAAAGGTTGAATAAGATGGTTAATTTAGACACCAAACTGGTTAATGCACATAGCAATAAAACTGTAACATGTGGGGCTGTCTTCTTTATCAGATAAATAATTCACATCACTAGTGAACAAATTTGATTTTCATCACAATCAGCAGTTGTTCTCAATTGGGGGTAATTTCTCCTTCTAGGGGATGTTTGGCAATGTCTGAAAGAAGCCTGGTGGGCTATAGTCCATGGGGTCGCAAAGAGTTGGACAAGACCAAGCAACTGAGCATGCACACATGTGAAGACATTTTTGGTTGTTATAGCTGGGTGTGTTTGAGTGTGTGTGTGCGTGTGTGTGTGCGCGTGTGCGCGCGTTACTGGCATCCACTGGGGAGCGAGCAGGGATAGTCTTAAACATCCTTCAACGCACAGGACAGCCCCTGAAAAAAAGAAATATCCGGTCCCCAGTGCCAAAGGTGCTGAGGCTGAGAAACACGGTCTATCAATTTCTACAAGTTAACATCTACTCTTCTCAAGTTTATTAATAAAATACCCTAATCAAGAGAAAATAGCGAGTCAAACAAAGATACATACTCCTGGAAACGAGCTAACCCTTGGTGGCTGGGTGGGTTGGCTAGAAAATGCTGAGATAACTGAAAGGACATGCAGGAGCCCTGTGGCCTAGTTCTCAGTTTTGGAAAATTTTAACAATAATTGACATCATACCTAAAACATGGTAGGTACTTTGTGAAGGTTAATTATTTTTATAAATTTATAGGCCACTAGCTAGAAGTCCAAACACCCATACAGTAAAATAAATACCCTACTTTTACATAAGCATCATCACTGTTGAATATTTTTTCCTGTTTAGATTGTTTCATCATGGTCCCTTTGAAGAAAGTCCTCCAATACAACCTTCGGACTTACAGATGATAGATCTGTTAAAAAAGACAAGTTATATTTAAAAATTTTTCCTGAAAGCCTGATTCAAAAAACTGAGCCTCTCCTCCTGCATGAAAAACTTTACTGTCACATTGAGAATATCCAAGATTTCCTTAGGGAATCCATTTAAAGTCTGTTATAGAAAGGATGGTAAGGTACAGATCATAGGATTGCAGGCTGTGGCCCTTTTTACTGGTCAAAGTGTGGGGGCTTTTGACATTTAAAAATTGAAGTATAATTGACATACAATTCGGTATTAGATTTAGGTGTACAACATAGTGATTCAATATTTATATACATTGCAAAAATGATAACCATAATAAACCTAGTTACTGTCACCATATGAATTTATTATTATATTACTGACTATATTCCCTATGCTTTACATTACAAAGGCAAAAAAAGGGAAAAAAGCAGCCCCACAGTTGCCCAAATTCATCTTGTATAAATCAGTTCAATAGTATTAATATATCCAATGGTTGTATCTATCCACTGGGTCCAATAAGGAAAGAAAAACCAGACTAATATGAACAAGAAAAGTTTGATATAAAGAATTTTATAAATTCTTCACATAAAGATCAATATAATTATTTTTAAAATAATAATATTTATACAAATTTAATAAAGAATAAATAGAAAATGTGCAAAAGTGGCTGTAAATAAGTATATAACATATATTTAAATATATATTTATATAAAGCATATGTTTAAAGTATGTAAAATAAAAATGTGTAAGATAAATATATCACATAAACAATATATCATATAAAAATAATTAATTACACAATTAATGATAATATTTTATAAATAAAACACCAGCAAGGGATAACATTTTATAAATAAAACTCAAGGAAGACTGCTAAGGAGTAAAGAGAACTTTAAAGAAGATAGAGGTAAGGAATAGCCACAACCTCTAGGGCTGAGAAGAAACACCAAAGGAAGAGACTTTACCATATGCAACCCCATCCTGCCCCGCCCCCACCCTCCCCCACGCCGCCCCGCCCCGCCCCCTCCCCCGCCCCGCCCCCTCCCCCGCCCCGCCCCCTCCCCCACCCCCACCCCACCCCCACCCCCACCCCCACCCCCACCCCCACCCCCACCCCACCTCCATTACTAATGAGAGCCAGACCTTGCTGGAGAAGGTATTGCCAAGGTTCTGAGTGTCAGGGAAGTAACTGTGGTGTAATGTTGGCTATATATGCTGGCAATCCATTCAATGGAACTTGGGGGAAATCTGCCTCTAGGATGCCATGGAAAAACTGTTCCCCAGGAGATGTCTCAGCTGCTACAATTACCAGCACACGAGAGCCACTCCTTAGTGGCTCAGACGGGTCCGACTCTTCGCGACCCCATGGACTGTAGCCCACCAGGCTCTTCTGTCCATGGGGATTCTCCAGGCAAGAATACTGGAGTGGGTTGCCATGCCCGCCTCCAGGGGATCTTCCCAACCCAGGGATCGAACCAATGACGCCCGCATTGCGGGCAGATTCTAAACCGCCTGAGCCACCAGGGAAGCCTAACTCAGTGGCAACCAAAAGCAAAATCTTTCTCCTGCAACGGCTCTCCAGCGCCCCCTATCGACAAGGCTTAACATTGCTCCACTTGACAAGAGAAAATTATTTACAGGGCCGAGATTCATTTTCACAGAAGCAAAACGGGATAATCTGGAGCTAAGAGTGAGTAAAATCAGTAACTGACACAAGAGCTATTCTGTAATACTTTTAGGGGCTGACAGTAGTGATAACAGTCTGAATAACAGCCAGTGTGGGTCCTCCTGGGCCTGCATGCTGCTATTTGTCAGCTATAGAGCAGTAACTCCGCATGATCCCAGGGTCAGCAATATCAACATCACCTGGGAACTTGTTAGAAATGCAGATTCTAGTACCCTACCCCCAACCAATGGAACCAGAAACTATGGGGTTGGGGATCAGCAATCTGTTTTCATAAGCCCTCCAAAGAATTCTGGTACACACTAAGGTTTAAGAAGCATTGTTACAACAGTAAGTTCTAGAAACTTGCTGTTCAGGCACAAAGAGAAGAGTCAATAAGGATTTATTTGTATGAGTTTAAATCTCAATCTTTATTTATTTACTTATCTGGCTATACTGCCCCTCATGTGAGATCAAACTCATCACCCCTTACAGTAGAAGCATGCAGTCTTAAACAGTGTACCACCAAGGAAGCCCTAGTCTCATTTTTTAATTTTGAAGAAGACAACCTAACTTCTCTAGGATCTGGAAGCTACCAGGGAGCATATGATTTTTACCTCTGCTTTTACATTGATGATGTGTTTCTGGACATGTGGGCATGAGTGCATCAACTATGGTCACTTTGGTAAGAAATTCTGTTTTTGACGTGCTCTTATGTACAGGTTTGATGAAGTCCCCAAAGCTGCTATTGCAATTTTCATCTGCTCCTGTGGGTGCACAGATGCGGAATGTGATGCCTATTCTGCCTTTTCCATATCTGTGCTTTTTCCTAGGTCTCCACCATGGCTTCAGTTGTTGAAGGAACAGCTCGAGCCACAAACCTAAGGTCGGCACAGCAGATAGCACCATGGAGCTCACATAAGCTCTCTACTGCACCTTGCCCCTCAGATAACCTCAAGAGTTGGCTTGCTTCCTTGACAAGGCTCCAACTGCCTAGAACAGAAAGTTTCCCTTTCCCCTGACACAGCCTTTGCCTTTCCAAGCTCCTTAATTTGCTCCTTTCAAAGGAAAGATGGAGAGATGATGTACTCTCACAAGAGATTTTTCTGCCATTTTGCTTTAAAATGGAAAATGTGTGTGTGGGTGTGAGCATGTTTGTAGGCTGGAGGAATTATTGCCTGGCTCTGGTCCTGCTAGTAACTAGCTACATGGGGTTGGGCAGGTCACCAGCTCTGGTTCTAATTTCTACACTCAAATACAGAGCATCAGATCAGCTGACACTACTCCCAACATTTTAAGATTCTATGTACTACCACAAGTGTATCCTTAAAAGATAACTTGCTGGGCTTCAATGTCACCCTGCAGTATAAGAGTCTATGCACGAGGCCCTCTTCTAAACACCTTCCTCTGGGCTTAAACATTTAGCACAACAAAACCTTCTTACAGCAAATTCAACCTAAAGGGATTGAGGTTATTTATGCACAGAAAAATGAAGTCTTCAGCAGATATGCTCCTTTTAGTCTTTCTAAATAGATATTGGCTTGGCCAAAAAGTTTATTCAGATTTTTTTCCCATAAGATCTGATGGAAAAATCTGGGGGAGCTTTTTGGCCAATCCAATACCTCATTAACTGCTTTGATAAGAGTAACTAAATGTGAAAGCACATAGTGGAAATGAAATGCTAGTATTCTTCATTTCAAATTCCTGACTTGTTTCTCATTGAGAGAAGTATATAAAAACATTTCGTTCTTCCCAAAATGATTTGAATGTTTCCATTTTTAATGTCTGTTAGTATCACACACCACGCCCCCCCCCCCCCATACACCAAGATAAATAGCCTCTCTCTGATCTATTTTCACATACTGAAATGGGGAAAGTCAAGTGTGATGCTTCTCAATCAACAGTGACAGTATTCTTTGTGGGGAAGAGTATTTCAGAAATTTGGGGAAATAAAGTTTGAAAAGTCATATCTAGACGTCTATACAAAAAAAAAAAAATCTTGGCGCTTCCCTGGTGGTCCAGCGGGTAAGACTCTGCACTCGTAATACAGGGGGCCCAGGTTCGAGCCCTGGTTCTGGGAACTAGATCCCACATGCTGCAACTAAAGACCCTGTGTGCTGCAGTGACAACTGAAGATCCCACATGCTGCAACTAAGACCTGGCACAGTCAAATAAATAGATATTAAAAAAAATTTGTTTTAACTGTTTGGATAAAACAAATTACATCCATCTAAGCTCGAGAAAATTACAGCCAGGGAGGATAAGCAGAACATGTGGTAATACTTGCAGAATACTTGCAGTTGCTCACCTGTTTCCTCCTCCTTTAGTAAAAGTGTTCCCCCCGCCCCTGCCTTTCCTCAGCTTGGCAGCATCCCCAGGCAGTGATTCGTATCTGGTTCGATTCTATCCTGACAACTTCTTCCCAGCTTCTTCTGCAGTGAGAGTGGCCAGGGAGCCATGGCCGCTGGGGTCACTGTTGGGTGATTTGGGGAGCCCTATGGCTGTCTGCCTCCTGTACCCAGTTCCTTCCTTGAGAGTTGACACTGTGCTGGGCGCTTCTGTGGGGCGTTCCTGTGACCTCCCGATGATAGCTGCACAGGCCAAGGATGAAAGACTGTGGCTTTTCTATGACACTTTCAATTTGTTGAATTTCCCAAAAACAAGTCTTAAATATGTAATAGTTAGGACTTGAAAGTTGTTTAAATTAACTGAAATTCAAATTTAACCGTGTGCCCTCTAATTGTGTTTTATTTTTCCCCCTTAAATCTGACAACTCTATGTAAAAACCCTAGACTACACGTCTTGAACTTTTGTTATGTAAAAAGGATTACCTCAGTAAGTTATATTAGTCAAGTTAACATACTGCTTGCATGTGAACTCATTCCTAGTATCGTAATAATTTATAAAAAGTGCCCAGCATTTATTATGTTCACTCTGTGCTAGACACTGTGCTAGTTAATAGCGGGTACTTGTAATTGAGTCACAGAGGTGGGTCCTGCCTTCAAGGAGCTTGCAGTCTAGCTGGAGAGACAGCTACGGAATGAGTGATTCTGTAAGTGGCAGAGTAATTAACAACTGTTCTCAGCGCTTTGAGGGAAAAGTAGAGAACCTTGAGAGCACCTATGAGGGCGGGTACGGAGAAGGGAAATCCTCGAGAAGTGGCATCGCAAGAGTGAGCTGAAGGAGGAGCAGGAGTTAGCAGACTAGTTGGAGGGTGGGTTGCAGAAGTTTGCTCTAAGCCTCAGGAGCAGTAGTGAGGCTGCGGTGACATGGGAAGAGTCCTGGTGAGTTTGAGGAGGGGAGCTTCCAGTGGCTGAGCAGCAGAGAGTTGAGTGATGGGAAATGCAGGCAGAGAGGCACTTAGAACGTGGATCATGGGTGCCTTGGGGGCCATATTAAGGATTTCAAAACTTATCTTTACTCTCTACTATACCTACACTATGTACTGTTGGTATCCTCACCTTACAAAGAGGAAATAAAGACTTTAACGTGTTTGATCAAAAACATAAAAAGTTATTAAGTGAATGAACTGTAATTTTAGCCCAGATTACTTTTTTTTTTTTAATAGTGTATGTGAGCAAAAAAAACCCCCTAATCATTACTGAGTGCAAGCTAGTTACAAACTTCTAAGTAATGAGAGCTGATCAGATGAGTCTATAGAGATTGTTTAAAGTTAATTTAAGAATATATTTTATATTTATGTAAAAACCGTGAATGTGAGAAATCTATTATTAATAAATAACAAGTTGATCAGTAATTTAAATTCCAGCATTGAATGGGGCATCAATAAATTACACAATTATACAGATCACCTATCTGTGCTTTCCAATGCAAGTTGTCCTGTACTGCATGTCACTCAAGTCACTGTGGCTTACTTATGGAATTTTAGACAGTGGTTTGGCAAAAACAAAATAAAACATACACACAAAAATCCTTATTTGTTAAGTGACACAAATGATTCAGCAGTTTTAGATACATATGAGAAACAATTACAGCAGTAACAAGGACAAAACACATACAAAAAGATACTGTTGCAAATTGTTGATTTATTCAATATGATCGCTACTCCTGGTAATCCCATTATTTGCAGGAGGTGGGCATCGGGTATGGGATGGTAACAAATATTTTTTAAAAATTAAAAATAGAAAAATATAAAGAGCATACTGTATGTGAGGTAAATGTTATATGATACTTGATATGATACATGCAACAAATATAGACACATTTGCATACATATATAGACTCATCCACACAAACACACACATCAGTAGATTACATATATACTGGATTGTGATCTACATCTTATTTTTTACTTTGGGTCCCATTCATAGAAGTTTGAAAATCATTGGTCTAGTGAAAATGACTCAGTCTCTGTGAGCTATGCTGTATCTGTGCACTTCTTGGTGTGAGAAAAGCATTAGGGTAAATTTAGGTCCATTATCATGGATAGCCACTCACTGTTCCCTGTGTTAAGGAAATCATGTGTGACAGAGCAAACAAACAAAACAACACACTGTCACTGTACCAGAGTGCACAGCGTATCTTGGTTATGGTGCTTGAATAGATTCCTTTGAATTTTCCAGTTCACTCCAGGGAAGTTTCAGTCCATTCCAACTTTATGCTGTCACTCGCACACCTTGGGAATAATTACAAAAAGAAAAGAGATTAATGAGGAATTCCAGCTGTCATTTTATTAAATCTTCACACTAACATCAAGGTGTGTTAAGATTACAGATTCTGGGACCAGAAATGCTGGTTTTCTGTAAAGAACTAAATTGAGTCCAAATCTCATTCTTTTAATCCTTGTGCTAAATTTAAGCCTATTTTCAGATATCCAGTATTATTTGCAAATCGGTATAATGATCCTTGACTTCAAAGAATGAAATAATTTGACAACTAGAAGAATATCACAAAAGGTGGCTGATACAGTAATATTCTCGTTTTGGAATGATATCCTTGGTTTGAGGAAAGAAGTATTCTTATCTTTTTTAAAAAGTAAGGATGCCGCGCTGAATATTTAGTGACTTTGGCTTAGAAAGTCAATGATCAGCCTGCCGCATTCTCATCACACATCTCATGCTAGAAAAGCACACATTTTTTTGTAATCTTTGAAGCATGCAAAATATAAAAATGATTATACTCTTTGACCCAGCAAGTGCTACTTCCAAAAATTTTAAATATCATTCAAGAAGAAGAAAACCAGCAACACACACACATATTTTACAGTATGTTATTTGCCAATGTAAAAATCTTTTTAACGACACTAAATATCTAACAGTAGGAAATGGTTCAATAATCTTATGGCACTTATACTACTATTACTTTATAATTGAAATTATATTTTAAATTCAACATAGAAAAATATCCCCCCAAATTCATTTTATTAAATTTTTATTTTGCAATTTTTTATCCCTCTGACTTGACACCTTTCTTCTGCAGGAAGGTGTCAATGTCAGGTCTTATAATTTACTTTTAATGAGCAAAACAGAACTCAACCTCGAATCCTTTAACTGGGAGAGCTATTTAGTTTTATAGTTTTATTATATAATGGACTCTACAAAGCTTATTCAACGTTAAATACTAATTTAAAAACAAAAGTAAACATGGCAATTAACCATGTAAGCCATGTAACCATGTAAGAGAGAGATTTAAATTCAATCTTTGTTTCTATTTCATTATTAATGCTTTGTTACAATTATGATTCTATATGTTTAGAATAGAAAATTAGTTTATGAGATACTATAAGAAGCCTGAGGTATATTCAATGGAAACATGTGAAGCCCTCCAGAACAGCCTGGTTTAACCTCACTGAGGGTTAAACCAGGCTATGCTAAGGATCTCTCCAGGCTAGCTTTGCCAGGGCACTGTGATTGGAAGAACTGGGAAAGGTGATGGGTTACTATAAATAACGCAGTAACTTATTTATACAACTGGAAAAAAAAAAAGAAAAAAATGAATATAAATCTTGGAGGCAGGAAAAGCTGATATTCCTTGGATTTTATGTCTCTTACAACATTTCTATTCTTTTTTTTCTTTTTAAACTTTATCCAATATCTCAAATGCAGGCAAGATAGTCTTACGAAGGAATACTTCCTTACAAACCTCTAGGATGTAGGTAAGGAAAGAGGAGGGTGTCATAGACATAGAAATGTACTTTCCTGTGGGTTTTCAGCCCCCGTCAGAACACACCAGCTTTTCTTGGGTCTTGGACCAGATGGCAAAAGCTGGCACTCAGTATGCTATCTGCCTGAGCTACATGATCAAGGCTCGTTCATTTTTCTCCACAGATACAGCATAAGGCCAATCGTCAGCACGTGACTTGGTCATTAAAGGACAACTGGACCCAAGCCTAGCCATTATTGAGAGAATGGAAAGGTATAGGTGTTCAACCCCTGTAAGTATCAACATCCTGTAAGTACCCTATCAGGATCAGCAAGGGAGCCAGCAGCCCTCAGGGAAGTGGCTCTGGCTCAGGTGCTATCATTTACAAAGGCTGAGTCGCTCCCTTCACTCTGCATGCTGTATCCACTGATGCTGGGGCCTGAGCTTCGTGATGGGGGGGCATGCCTTTCATCAGAGCAACAGATGGCAGGGGTGAGCAGGCATACCTGGCAAGGATTTTAAGTTCCACTTACAGGAAGAAATTTTAGTATGGTCCTGACATTTCTTTAAATAGGTTCATGCCTACAGGAAGGGCTGATTCTGAAACTGGGAGTGTGTTAGGATCAATGAACTGCCTGGCTGGGCTCAAACGTCTAGTCAGTTAGGAATTTACTGAGGACACAGGAAATCTAATTCTTTCTGAGAGATGATGACATTTGCACCAGGGGAATTGCTTCTCACCAAAAGAGCATGTAATATTCTTCACTGCCAAAGTGACTCATACTGTCTTCTCCTGAGCCAGCAGATGACTGCATTTTTATGTTAACCATGAAAAGTGTTAGCTCAAACACTGCCAGTGAAAGATCTAGATCTATAGTTTTGTTTTCCCAGCACACTTTGTCATCCTTCTGGTTTCTATCTCCTACTCTGCCTCCCCTTTGGGGGATTTCTCCCCTTAAATCAGGACGCCTTTCCTGAGCTACTCAATTACAATATGAGTACATGATCCACTTCTAGCCAACCAAAGTAAGCCATATCCCAGGCATAGTGATCGGTTTAGCAAAAGTCATGTGACCCAAGCAAGACCAATCAAAATGTTTCCTGGGACTTTTCAGCTGGGATAATACGGAAAATTGGTTTAAAAATGTTTAAAATAAGGAATTTTAAACATATGCAAAACTAGTGAGAATAACATATAGATCCTTCTGTACCCAATACACGGCTTTGTTTATCAACTCATAGACAATATTGAAAAAGGATAAAACTGTCTTTTTACTGGGGCTATTGGATTTAGGAGGATGGTGTTGCCAAAATACTTCATGTCTGTTAGTGGAGAGAGACTGACCTCCAAATACCTTCAAACAGAAAATGAGAAATTGAGGCAGAACCATGAGGACCCCATTGGCGCTCCTTAACTCAGTGGAGCCTGAAGCCACTGCCACTCCTGTACTTTCTTTCTGCTTAAGCCAGATTTAGGAGGATTTCTGTCACTTGCAAAATGTATTGTCTTATTGTCTGACATGAAAACCTTAAAGAAATATTCAATAAGCTATTTTTGAAATCTTGTGTTTATTTTGGGAAATAAGTATTTATGAAAAATCTTTGAGGAATAAAGGAGAAAGAGAACTCTATGCCTATTAAAACAAGATCATCAGCATTTAATTTCACTCAATTCAAAGAGTAATTTCAGTCCTATTGAAATAATAGCCAGCCATTAAAAATTTTGAATTAAATAACAGAAATATCATTAAGAGAGAGAACAAAGGGTGAATATTTTCACCCTCAAAAGAACTCAAAAAGTAATCAAGTCCCTAGACCCATTCAGAGCCTTTGATTCTGAACTGTCTTCAAAGCAATGAATGAATGGATACGATCACTCTTACATTAGCATTCTGCTATACCATTCTTGGGGCTTCCTTGGTGGCTCAGTGGTGAAGAACCCGCCTGCCTATGCAGGAGACCTAGGTTCAATCCCTGGGTCAGGAAGATCCCCAGGAGAAGGAAATGGCAACCCACTCCAATATTCTTGCTTGGGAAATCCCATGGACAAAGGAGTCTGGTGGGCTGCAGTCCATGGGGTCATGAAAGAGTCAGACATGACTTGGTGACTAAAACAACACCACCACCACCACTCATGGGTATGTAATGAAATATTTTACCTGGTTGCTCCTTCACAATCCACTTTGATTAGACAATACTAACCCTTTTGCTTTGCTAGTTCTTGTGTTAGATCTTCATATACTTGTGAAAAGAGGTCTTCCTCAGATTTTGTTCCATCTAGATAAACTGAGAAGGGGAAAAAAGAATAGTTCAAATGCTAACAGGCTTATTAATATGGGATGCTTACTCTGGCATCTGGCATCTCTTGAGGGCACCATAAGTTTAAAGAACCCAAGAACATAATTTTAAAAGAAATTAATAGCCATTAAAAAGAAAAATATAAAGCTGGATACAATAGGCAAGAGATTTGGGTTATTACAGGGAAATTCAAACTAGCCGATGTGAAAATTATAAAGACAAAAAAGACACAGACTTAAGTGGCATTGTGTATACGCCACTTTAGGAGCACCAAATAGGTGCTTTCTCAAAACAATCATTTAAGGGAATAGTTCTCGAACTTCTTTATCAGGATAACCTGTGAAGCTTCTTAAACCATGCCGTGTGTGTGTGTGTGTGTGTCTGTTTTGTGCGTGTGTGATTTGTCACGTGTGTGCTGAATCTGCATTCTCCAGGCCATGAGATATATATATATATGTATTTTTAAATTGCCATAGTCAGTTTGGTATAAGAAGTAGGTTATAAGAAAATTTTGTAGGTTAAAGGAAGGAAAGAGTCTTCTAGTCAGAATATTGCAGAGGTAGGGGCAGGTAGGAGAGAACTTTGACTGTTAAGAAAAAGATGCTCTGGAAAGTTTGGAAAGGCTAGAATGTGGGGAGGCACGAACAGTATAGAAATGAGACTTTAGATAAAGCAAGGCTCTGCCTTAGCCTTTGGAGACCTTGAGATCCTTCCTGGCTGTTTAGATTTTATCCCAAAGGGCTGGAGACTCTCTGGAAGCATTTAAGCAACGTAGGAGCATGAGATGGTGGAGGTGGGGGGACAGGCAGTAGTAAGAAGAAGACATCTCTGCAACCAATGGTCCAAGTTGGAAATAGTGTGACCAAAAATGTCACGAGAGGCCCTGGGGATGTGGAAGAGGGGTTGGACTGGACTGAAGAAGGGATCATAAGAGCCTCCAGACTATGGGCCGGTCCCGTGTGCTGTCTGTATTTACCAAAGAGGCCATGACGTCTCTCACAGTAGGGGCAACTCCCTTTATTCTGAGAAGATGTGTCTGCTCTGGTTGCTCTGCCCTCCAGAAGCCTTCTGTCTCCAGCCTCCTGCATCTTCTCCATGTTGTGCTCTGTATCCCAAGGATCTGTTCTCAGTCCAGCCCCATAGATCCAGGTATTTATATCTAAATCACTGCTTTAAGTTCCGTAGGGATCTCAACTTCATTACTGGCATGCAGAACAGATGTGCATTCCTCCTTGCAAATCCGTGAGTCCTTCATTTTTTCCTGTTCTCCGAAATAGTTCAGTTGCTCAGTTGTGTCCAACTGTTTGCGACTGCATGAATCGCAGCACGCCAGGCCTCCCTGTCCATCACCAACTCCCGGAGTGTACTCAAATTCATGCCCATTGAGTTGGTGATGCCATGCAGCCATCTCATCCTCTGTCGTCCCCTTCTCCTGCCCCTAATCCCTCCCAGCATCTGGGTCTTTTCCAATGAGTCAACTCTTTGCATGATGTAGGCAAAGTATTGGAGCTTCAGCTTCAGCATCAGTCCGTCCAAGGAACACCCAGGAATGAACACCCTAAAGAGGATGGACTGGTTGGATCTTCTTGCAGTCCAAGGGACTCTCAAGAGTCTTCTCCAACACCACATCAATTTTTTGGCACTCAGCTTTCTTCAGTCCAACTCTCACATCCATACATGACCACTGGAAAAACCATAGCCTTGACCAGACGGACCTTTGTTGGCCAAGTAATGTCTCTGCTTTTTAATATGCTACCTAGGTTGGTCATAACTTTCCTTCCAAGGAGTAAGCGTCTTTTAATTTCATGGCTGCAGTCACCATCTGCAGTGATTTTGGAGCCCCCCAAAATAAAGTCTGACACTGTTTCCACTGTCTCCCCATCTATTTCCCATGAGGTGATGGGACCAGATGCCATGATCTTAGTTTTCCGAATGTTAAGCTTTAAGCCAACTTTTTCACTCTCCTCTTTCACCTTCTCCGAAATAACACCTGACAATTCCTGAGCTGTTATCCTTGACACCTCAACTGCCTGCACCCTCCATATCTGTTCTATCATTCAGCTCCTCTGAATACATATGTCCCATATCACACCCTACACATCTACCCTTCACAAAGCCACAAGGATCTGACTAAACAAAAATTTTACATCTACCATATCCTTGTAATAAACCTCTCTGCAGAGGGCTTCCCACTTCCCTTAGGACAGTGACCTTTGGCCTTGTAAGGTCTGTACCCTTCCTGTACCACCAACATCACCCGTTGCTTTGTCTTTCTCTACCACAACCTTCTAGCCAGTGCCCCCTGGCCTTTCCACGCACCATACTCACTGTCTGGGTGGTATCCCACCCCAACCTTTGCCCAGTTAAATCTATCACAAAGTGGTTCAAATGTGGCTTCCTCAAGGAAGCCTCCCCTGGTTGCTGAGAGCGGACAGTGCCCCTGAAGCTCGGTGTCACAGTGCTCAGCATAGTTAGAAAGGACAGCTTGTGCAGCAAGTGTGTTTAACGTCTGTTTCCCTGATAGAATGTTGGTTCATAAGACTGGAGACCAAGTCTGTCTTATTTCCCGTGATAACACCAGGGCAGTGCCTTGTTCGGGGAATGCATTCAATCAGTATTTGTTGAATGAATTGACGATTTAGAAGTTGCTACACTTTGACAAGAGTCATAGAGAGAAAAACAGAAGCCAGGAGAGCCAATGAGGAAAACGAGGGTTCTGGCTTACAATGTCCTTTTACAATCCAATACATGAGAAAAATGCCTTCTAAAATCTTGTGTACTCTTGTGTACTTTGAGGCAATGACAGGTAAAAGTCTTCCTTGAAGGGAAAAAGACACTCACCAATTTCCCAGGAGACATTCTCCATTTCTTTTTTGTGCTTTAGGTACATGGGCCACACGTGGCCATCAAAGTACCCTGGGACGTCTGGAGGATTGTAGACCCTTGCACTGTCAAAATATGTAGGAAACTTTATGCTGACAGAAACACAAAACTGATAAAGTAAAATAATGGTCAGGACAATGGGGAAATCACTCAAGAGATTGAGAAGGATTAAGACCATACATTTCAGGCTCAACGTCAGTTACAGAGACAACACACGACAGACTTGGTCCTCTGATCTAAAAATGAACTTTGTAACTCACTGACTACCATTCCTAATTATCTTTCCCCCCTCAAGTGATTTATAAAAGAATTGACAATATAAATAATGATAGCATTATTGTTATGTTGTAGTAAGCTTTAAACTAATCAGTGTCCTCAATGGCTGTAGCAGAATACAGGCGAATTAATTTAAAATCATAATCAAAATGAAATTGCTCCATATGAAGATTTAGGAAGGATGAGCCAAATAGCTTGTATTAATACAAGAGCCTTTTCTTAGAAAAAGTAATTTGCATTACTCCATGTCGGTGGCCATTTATGGAAAAAGGTCTTGTTCTTTGTGAAGAGTTGAGGCTTCCCTTGCTTGAAAAATAACATATACACATTGTTCAATAATGCTGTTTCCTTGTTTTTCTTAAAGTTTGTCTTTTGAATTACAATCCACAAAGGCATTTTCAAAACTTACCTCCTCCTCCGCTTACACTCTTCATACGGAATTGTCAGAAAATAGCTTCTATTCCATATAGTGTCAAGGGGCCTAAAATAACAGCATATTTAGTGCATATTTAGTTTTTCCCCCATTCATTCAGAGTCATTAATAGAATGGGGAATGCTTACTTATAATGGAAGAGAAGGAAACCTTCAATAATTAAGATGGGAATTTCCTCAGTGCTTTCCTCATGTGTTGATACCAGAGAGTGTGTTGCGTTTTCCATCCAGCAGGAAATGGTGGACATCATTTCCTCCATGTTAAGCGCTTCGAGCACTTCAAACAAGCAGACACAAATATGAAATAAATACAACAAAGGTTCTACGCTGTGGCTTTTTATGATGAGGCTATCCAGTGACCTATAAACATATAAAATAACACTATTCTATTTTTCCTTCAAAACACCTAATTAACAAACATTTTAGACAAAAAATATAAACTCTAACATTGATAAGGTGGTATGTTTGATATATTTTCATTCTGGAAAAATTTAAACACATACAAAAGTAGAGCATAGAGTGCAATGAACTCCCATGTCCCCACTTACCAACTTTGACAATCATAAACTCATTGCTTTATTTGTAACTTCTACTCCCCCTTGACTATATAATGTGTAACATTTCTGGATGACAAAATATTTATAAAATAGTTAGAAAGACAGTGACACACTGGGGAAATTACCTGCAGTATACTTGGCAAAGAATGGGTATCTTTAATATATAAAGAGCTCTTACAGATAAATAAGAGGTAAATCATTAAAATAATTTACAAAGGATACAAATACATAATACTCAAAACTTTAAAATGTGCATACTCAGAGCTTACAGTTTTTAATTCTAGAAAACCACCCTATAACAGAGATTCTCAAAGTGTGGTACTGCATCTGAGAACTTATCTGAAATGCAAATTCTCACTCCTACCTCAGAACAACTGAATTGAGCCATCTGTGTGTAGAGATATTTTAGTGGAAGGTTTTAAAATTATGAATTAATCCCTTTAATAGATATAGAGCTATTAAGGTTTTCTCTTTGTTCTGGTATTTGTTTTGATTAAGTTGCATTTGGTAAGATGGCTAATTTCATTTAAGTTTTCAATTTGCATAAAATTGTTCATAATATCCTCATCTTTTTGATATTTGTGGTATTTGTAGTGATATTGACTTTTTCTGTTTTTCTTTATTTTTTTCTTGATTAGTTTTGATTAACTTTGAGGATCACTCAGATTCATCAATCTGTAAGTTTACATCTTAGGCCAAATTTGAGATGTCTTAGACCATTCCCTTCTCCAGTGGACCACATTCTGTCAGACCTCTCCACCATGACCTGGCCATCTTGGGTGGCCCCACAAGGCATGGTTTAGTTTCACTGAGTTAGACAAGGCTGTGGTCGGTGTGATCAGATTGGCTAGTTGTCTGTGATTGTAGTTTCAGTCTGTCTGCCCTCTGATCCACTCTCTCAGTGCCTACCATCTTACTACTGGATATCAGTAGAGAAATAACTCCAGAAAGAATGAAGGGATGGAGCCAAAGCAAAAACAACTCCCATTTGTGAATGGGACTGGTGATGGAAGCAGGGTTCGATGCTGTAAAGAGCAATATTGCATAGGAACCTGCAATGTTAGGTCCATGAATCAAGGAAAATTGGAAGTGGTCAAACAAAAGATGACGAGTGAACATTGACATTCTAGGAATCAGTGAACTAAGATGGACTGGAATGGGTGGATTTAACTCAGATGACCATTATATCTACTACTGTGGGTAGGAATCCTGTCAGGGAACGTTTAACGGGAGGATTCCTGCGTGCTGTTTCTCATAAATCCTCTATTCCTTATCAGTTCCTGGCAACAGGAACAAGTGGAATGGCACGCTGCTCCCAGGACTGAGGTCATAGGATGAGACACATGCATGAATCTCCTTCAGTAAACATTCTCCTTACGACAAAACTGCTTAGTCTTGATCCTCTTTCTTGAGATATGGTGTCTCCTGACCTTATGACCATTGTTAATCCATTGTTCCCTTGACAACAGTTGCTGTACGTTTAGTTTTCTGATCTTTATCATTGTCAAAAGAAATTCCTTGTACAACAGCCTATATATACTCACAGAAAGATCATTAAAGCACCCTTGCTCCACCAGAGGCTTGGGTCCCCATGTCTTTCTTTCTTTCTGTCTCTCTCTCTCCTTCCCTCCCTCCTGCTGATTCTCTGGAGTGTGGAAACCGCTGAGCTCACTCTCCTGCCTGGGCTTTCAAGACCTCTTCGAGAAGGCGCCTGGTGCCTTCGTGAGCGGCACAAGCCCTGTTCAAGGGTTTTATTGGTTCTCTGCATAAATCAGGGAATATTAGCTTCTTTCTCTCACTTTCTTATCGTTGACTCTGGACCACCAGATCCATTTAAAGGTCCATTGGTCCATCAAAGGACTGCAACAAGTGGCGCCCGAAACAGGGACCTGGTATACATGGCAGCTTGGTCGGAGTGACTCAGGACCAACTGAAGTTGGGACCCTTTTTTTTTTTTTTGAGGTCGGGACCTTTTGAGGTTGCTAAGTACTAAGACATGGGTCAAACAGCTGGAAAGCCCCATCATTTCTCTACTTTACTTCACCAATTGTTTAAAATTCAGGGACTTTTGGTTTTGTACCAACAAATAGAGGCTTGCCTTCAAACAGTCATTGAATGTAATCCTTGGTTCCCTGATAAAGGCAGTTTTGATTTAGAAATTTGGCACCAGGTCAAAGAAAATGTTGAATGAGACACCAGACAGAAAAAATATTCCAATTGATTTCTGGCCCCTGTGGTCTCTCATTAAAGCTGTAATTCTGCCATTTCAAGGTAATTCTAGCCCTCCCGATATTTGACAACAGACAAAACACTTATTACATGAATATAAATTAGATGATGAAACTTTACAAAAGGCCCAATTAAAACAACATAAAATATTTCAAAATTTTCCTACTAATCCTACCCTGGCTACTCCAAATGCTCCTCCTCTGCCAACAAGCATGTTCTAAAAGTCTCTCCTTTGCTAGAACCTAATGATTCTGACAACGACTCTCCAGAGACAATTTCTGACACCAAAACTGGCAATACTTTTCTGGATAATAATGAGGAGTCCTTAACACAGACTCATACTTGCAAAAAATCAACATTTACTCGCTCTCCTCCGCAACAGAGGCTCTCTGGATTACTGGCTTTGCAATCATAAGTCTCTGAAGCTGATGGTTTCCCCGCCTTTCCAATTTTAGGAAATCCTGATGCTAAACGGCACATAATACCTCAATATGAAGGTATTAGTTTTTTTTACATGCAACAAATGAAAAAGGCTATAACTATGTATGGCTCACATTTGCCTTTTACTAAAGAGCTTCTAAATGCTGTGGCATCTTCTATTGGAAACTTTATTCCCTATGATTGGTGAATTTTAGTAAAAGCTCTCCTTAAACCAGGAAAATATCTTCAATGGACAATGCGGTTTCATGATATAGCCAGAGATCACACTAACAAAAATGCTCGAGCTGGTGCTCCCCAAAACCAAATTACTTTTAAAATGTTAACTGACACCGGACAATTTGATGCCATAAAAGCTCAAATACAATGCCCTCCCTTGTTGCATAAACAATTAAAAACAGTGACTCTTGAAGCTTGAGATCAAATTACTCCTCAAAAGAGAGCCTACAGGTAGCTACATTAAAATATTACAAAGATCTAATGAAAATTATGCTGATTTTTTAGCTAGATTAAGAACTGCTATTTCCTGTACTGTAATCAGAGAAGAAGCCAAAAAACAGCTTAAAAAATTACTTCCTTATGAAAATACAAATCAAAAATGTCAAAAAGCTATAGCTTCAATTCATGACTTAAGACTATTATTGATTATTTAAAGGCTTGTTACAATCTAAGATCAAAAACTCAAAAGATACAAATGCTAGCTAAAACAATGGCTGCTTGCTTTAAAAGGAAAAATAAAAGATGCTTTACGTGTGGAGATAAAAACCATTTAAAAAGAGAGTGCCCTAAAAATGCTAATAAAAAACCTCCAAAAATCTGCCCTCACTGCCATAAAAAACAAACACACAAAAAATACACTGGGCCAAAGATTGTAAATCTAAATTTGATATGAAAAACAAAACAAAACAAAACAAAAACTATTCCAGAAAACTCCAAACAGGGGACCCCCCAGGTCCCCTTCAACAAAAACCAGGGACAAATTCCATCTTTTCCCTCAAACCCTCAACATCTGACAGTGCTGCCATCGATATACCAGCCCTAAATGATTTTTTCCTTTACCTTCAAGCAGTCCCTTCTAGAATACCTACCAGACTTTTTGGGCCCCTTCCCCCACAAATCTTCAGTCTTTTACTTGGCCAATCTAGTGTGACTTCTAAAGGAATTACTGTTCACCCTGGAGTAATTGATTCAGATTATAAATGAGAAATTCAAATTATGATGTCATCTCAGATTCTATGGCAATTCAAAAAGGGGGACAAAATTGCTCAATTACTTCTTTTGCCTTACATTTCTATTAACTCCTCTAATGATATACGGACAGGCAGATTTGGCAATACAGATAAAAAACAATCCTTTGGACATCATTGGTATCTGAATATGCCTGACCAAATATAAATATCAAAATTAATGGTAAAAGATTTTCTGGTCTCCTTGACACTGGATCTGATATTACTATTATTTCCAAACACTTACGGCCCAAATCCTGGCCTATACAAAAAATCTCCTGCCAAATTACAGGAATTTCTCAAACCAAAGTACAAGAGGTTTATCAAAGTGTTCAAATCTACCCATGTGAGGGACCAGAGGGCCAACCTGCAAAATTAAGACCTTATGTGATAGATGCATCCCTTAATCTAATAGGAAGGGAGTTACTTATGCAATGGCAAACTCAGATATTAATTCCACATTTTTCCTAGGGGCCACTGCTCATTTAACAAATAATGCAATTATTAAAATAACTTGGAAGAATAACGAGCCTATTTGGACAGAGCAGTGGCCCCTTACAAAAGAAAAATGACAGGCTGCTAAAGAACTTATAGACGACACACAATTAGAATTGAAACATATTAATGAATCTTGCTCTCCTTGGAACTCTCCTATTTTTGTTATAAAAAAGAAATCTTTATCAAGGGTGAAACAGATCACCAGCCCAGGTTGGATGCATGAGACAAGCGCTCGGGGCTGGTGCACTGGGAAGACCCAGAGGGATCGGGTGGAGAGGGAGGTGGGAGGGTGTATCGGGATGGGGAATACATGTAAATCCATGGCTGAT